AAAAAAAAAAAAAAAAAAAAAAAAAAAAAAAAAAAAAAAAAAAAAAAAAAAAAAAAAAAAAAAAAAAAAAAAAAAAAAAAGTCAAGAAATTCCAGCCACTCATTTACAAAAACCATCTAGGTTTCGCCACATCTTTGGAGGATAGCTCTTCAACAAAATTAGTTTAAACCCTCTTACTAAATTTTAATTTTGAATTTTCATATATATTTTATTCAACCTACCAATTTTCAATTTTGATACCAAACTTAAAGCACGATAATTTAAAATGTAGCGTTGTTGATAGACGAGGATTAAAAATGCTGGACGACAACTAAGCTACAATAGTAGGTACAAGCAAGTCGGACCTTAAAAAAGATTTAAATTTAAACATGAAAGAAAATAATTGGAGTTTTTTTTATTAAAAAAATTAAATTAGGCTTTTATTTTTTTGTTATTGTGGTTTGTTTATTTATGGTGAATGGGGTATTGTACTTGAGCGGCCCGTGAAGCCTCCAAAGGGACCTACTGTGAAGTGTAAGGCTTGGAATTTAGCCTCTTTTTTATTTTTTATTTTTTATTTTTTAATTTACTTTGTTATTTTATTTCATTTTATTTATTTATTTGAAAGTCATTTTCAAAATGTCTGGAAACAATGGGGAAGCCTTCTTCTACGTTCCTTTCAAATTCACATGCAAACTTTGGTTTTCACACCTTACTTTCTTATCCTCTCTTCTAAATCGATATATATATTTATATATGTATACATACGTGTGTGTATATATATACACATAGCAATGGAATTGTGTAACCCAATTGCGAGTAGGGAGGGGCACTCCGAGTGGTGAGCTAATTTTTATATCAATTGGAGATCAAGTTTGAAATGTATATCATTGAAAGAGAACCATCACCTCACCTCTTTTTCAATTATATAATACACCAATAATCAATTTCTTTAATAAATAAACCCACAATCTTGATGCTATCTCAATAAATCATTTTAAATGTTTTATTAAAAAATAAAATTTCCATGCAGTTTAGAGTTTTATTTATTTATTGTTTTTTTAGGGTTAAATAATAAATAGAATTTAAATGGATGGCTGAGATTTGTGGAAGGGGAAACTGACAAGTGTCACGTGTCCAACAGATCAGCAGCAGCTAATGAAACCCCAACATCTGATTTCTTTTCTCACGCCAATCAAAAGAATTATTTAAGATATAAAAATTTGAAATTTCCATTTTTAAAAATTAATTATCACTTCAGTTTTCACTTATAATTTTTCTTGTTAATTTTTTTTTATTAAATTATTTTAAAAGGAAAGTTAGAAATAAAAAAATTTCAATTTTATAATACTTTAGTTTTTATTAAATTGTAAAGTTGGTAACAATTTAGTCGTAAAAATTATTGTTAAGATTTGAATGCAATTTTTTACATAGGTAAATAATGAACTAATTATGAACCAATATACTTCTGAGCTATAAAGTCTAAACAGTTAAATCCTAAAAATCACATCAAATTAATAGAGCTTTTAAAAACATGGATTAAATTATTATAAAATTTAAAATACACTAATTAAATTGTTATATACCCATTAATACTAAATAAATAAAAGTAGATGCACGGAAGTGATTTTGAACCCAAAAGAAAATTAATTAAGTAAGAAAAAAGAAAAAGGTTTTAAAGTTGAGTAGAATGTTAATTGTAAGAAAATTGTGAACATTTTAAATTATAGATGTCGGATAATGAGAAAATTAATGATGTTACTTCTTTATTAAAGGCTTAACAATCATGATTAATCTTAAATACCTTTAATTGTAAGGGATTAAAATAATTTTTCTTTTTTAATTAGAAACTAAGATAAACTTTAATAAAAGAGGTCTCAATGAATTGAATGACTATGACTTGTGACATTATTTAAGACAAATAATAATAAGAAAAATTCATATAGTTACTTGGACGTTTTACCATAGATGTGGCTTGCAATTCGTTGACCATGATTGGATCTTACGAAATTTTGTCTAGCCCCTCCTTCAACAATTAGTTGTCGAACACTTTTCAATATATATCTTAATTAATTATAAATTATTTCGAGAAATGTTGTCCACATGTCACATACAACCTTGAGCTACTTGGAGACTAGGCTATGTTAACTTGAGATGACCTATTTAGTTTGGTGTCACGTGTAATTGTTCTCTTGAGAAAGTTAGTAAGATTAACGACTAGTTTAAGTAGGAATAATGTCACACCCATACTAGGAAAGTAGTAAGTTGCGACCCATGTGTGAAAGACAAGTAGACATGGAAGTGACGCCCAACTAGTTACATGAGGGCTGAGACAAGACAAGTGTCATGATGCGACCGAAAATGACAGTGTATTTAACACATTGTATAAAGTGTGCATTGAAGCCTAGACGGGGCAAAAAGAAAATAGAGGCAACAAGTAGACACAAATGTAAAAGATAGGCTTGATAAGGGTCGGGTAGGGCCCCAAGCCTTAACATTGAAAGTTGGGATTTTAGTAGACGTTTAGGCATGCAGTTCTAGATTTAATTCTGCCTATATGAAATATGAATACTTGTCAAATTTTGTGTAGATCAGACATCCAACGAATGCTCAACGAGACTGTATGTCAAGATCATGGCTACTATTGTCATACCAAATATGCCTTAGAATATACTATAGGAGAAGCATGCGTCAACTCTCCACCACTCTTGGGCCCTGTGGCCCAAGTGACGTATCATGTGACACTTATGTGTGCCACGGTGTGGGCAAGCGTTGCAAGACGAGTGTCTTGGGCGTTTTCCTTTAAAATGATTTTTTAAAAGAAAAGTGTTGGATGACACGAGTACGCCGACATTGCACCCCCACTCATGTGTTAGAAGTTGGTATATGTACTCGCTATCAAGTATGAAATTCGTAAATGACTTATCATAGACACGGGAGGGTTCATGCCTTGATAGATCTCGGATGGATAGATGTTCGAGATGCGCTGATGATCTAATCAACACATGGTTTAGTTCTCGATAGAAATGTCCAAGCAAACTATGATGACCGATGATATCCCGAAACTTGGGATGACATAATAATACAAAGACCGTGTTTTTGAGAACCAAGATGATGAGATGAGATGCAACACATCAATCTCATCTAAGTTTCATGAGTGAGATAATAGAATTGAGAATCAAGCCTAACGTGCATTCATTCAACATGATTCACAGGGTAAAGTTTGACATGACTCAATGTAGTGGTTGCAAGTAATATTTAAATTGTATTAAATAAAAAATTAAATAGATAAACAAATAAACGTAGTGACTGGTCGTACGCTATAGCGTCGGTGATAAGACTAATTGCATGAAATAATCGATGAGACCCACAATTTTTGCTTGGAATCCATAGTTTGGGTGAGGGTGGATGTTAAAACGAGGATTCAGCAGATTTTGAAGAGGTGAATTGTTCCAATATTTCGAAAAAGAATATCTAAGAATACTCGATTTTTTTGATGATGTAGTTAATATATCACATAAGTTGTTATGAAAATGGCCAAATTTAACTCGGGATAATATATATATATATATTAATTTAGGAAAAAAAAAAAAGAAAAAAAAGCCAAAAACTTGGCCAATGATTTAAGATTTAAAAGGAATAAATATACTTCCCATTTAAGATCAAAGATAAAGGGTACTTTTTTAAGAACATGATAAGACCTTAGCAATTATGTTTATTTATACATAAATAAATAAAGATTAATAACTTAATAAATAATGATGTGATTTCTTCAATCATAAAAGGAGACATTATAATTGAAAGGAATGGAAAAAGGCATAATGTAGTGACAAAAATAAAAATGATACAAAAATCATTAAAACAAAATTAAAAAGACGAAAAAAGAAAATGCTCATGATTTTATAATAAAATTTTTATATGATATTTTATTAATAAAAATAGTTTCAAGAAATTATAAAAAGAAAAAAAATACACTCACACAAGTATAATTTTTAAATAAGAAAAATTAAGTTATTATCCAACCAAATTTAAATAATTCTTAAACAAAATCTTATATTTTAATGTCATTAGATTGTTAGGGTTGTGTGTCTCATGCTTTATCTTTATTCTTTTAACTTTGATTTTTAAATATATAGACTTTATTATTATAATTATTGGATTTGATGCTAAAAGGTTTTCATTGGAAATCTTTTTCAAATAATGATATATTTTTGTGCCAATAAAGTTATAATGAATTTATACTATGAGTATTAAATATTTGAGTAGGTTAGAGTTAAACACATATTTTTTTAATTTAGAATAGATTTTTTATAACTCGTTAAGCCATCAAGTGCATCAAATATTACATGTACTTTATGCATCAAAATATAAATCACGTACATATAATATGCATCACTGTTCAAACATCATACTCATACATCATCATGCTCGTAAATACGGTAAACTATATAATTTATGGTTTATCTTATAGTAAGGCCACTTACTTTGTTGGTTTTAGCCGAAATACTCCCTAATTAGCTAAACGTATGTTCCTGTTCCTGGAAGGGTCGAAACGGTGGAAATCGTGCCAAAACTAAGAAGCCGAGTTGAAAATTCGTTAGAGGGAGGCTGGGAGTCGTTCGAGCTGAGCCAAGGACCGCCTGCGCCACTGGGCGTCACGTGGTAGCAGAAGAACACGCCACGTAGTGCAGGTGGCGTCAAGTCGAGGCGTGGGTGCAGTCCAGTTCGGGTCATCCGCTGCAGATGGCTACTGGGCTGGACTGGTCTTTTGGGCCTCGGCTTACTAGGCTGAGCCACAGGTACTTGGGTTGCAGGCCGATTCGACTAGACGACGGGTCTGGTCTCAAGTCAGTTCGACTAGACTGTGGGCTACTAGGTCGAAAGGTTGAGCCGAGCCCGAATTTGGGCCTAGGTTCACGGGCTGGATTGGTTACAGGTCGAGTTAGTTCGCGGGTTGCCGAGCAAGTCGGACCAAGGTTGGTTTGGGCCTCGGGTCTAGGCCATTGTACGTTTGGCTATGCCGAAAAAGATTGAGCTAGATTGACGTGGTTTGGTTATGGGCTATGGATTGGTTTGATACCAACAGATCTTCTTCCTTACCTGACTTCTGCGCGATTTTCTGGTCGTGACTCTATTCTCCCTCTTCCTCTCGATTTGTCTCTCCTCCTCCCTCCCACGAAATTTTGTGGTTGATCTTCTAGACCATTTTGGATTCCTTTTTCAACGGTGGCGATAACTATTCACAATGTCTCTTCCTCTCGATTTGTCTCTCCTCCTCTCTCTCCCACGAAATTTCGTGGTTGATCTTCTAGACCATTTTAGATTCCTTTCTCTCCCACTAAATTTCGTGGTTGATCTTTTAGACCATTTTGGATTCCTTTTCCGGTTGATCTTCTAGACCATTTTGGATTCCTTTCTCTCCCACGAAGTGGCGATTTGTCTCTCCTCCTCTCTCCATTGATCTTCTAGACCATTTTGGATTTTTGGATTCCTTTCTCTCCCACAAAGTTACCGTTGATCTTCTAGACCATTTTGGATTAATACGAAATTTCGTGGTTGAATTTCGTGGTTGATCTTCTAGACCATTTTGGATTTCTTTCTCTCCCACAAAGTTTTGGATTCCTTTCTCTCCCACAAAGTTCGAGTTGACCTTCTAGACCATTTTGGATTCATACGACCATTTTAGATTCCTTTCTCTCCCACGAAGTGGCGATTTGTCTCTCTTCTAGACCATTTTTTTGGATTCATACGAAATTTCGTGGTTGATCTTCTAGACCATTTTGGATTCCTTTCTCTCCCACGAAGTGGCGATTTGTCTCTCCTCCTCTCTCCCACGAATCTCTCCGTTGATCTTCTAGACCATTTTGAATTCATACGAAATTTCGTGGTTGATCTTCTAGACCATTTTGGATTCCTTTCTCTCCCACGAAGTGGCAATTTGTCCCTCCTCCTCTCTCCGTTGATCTTCTAGACCATTTTGGATTCCTTTCTCTCCCACGAAGTGACGATTTGTCTCTCCTCCTCTCTCCCACGAATCTCTCCGTTGATCTTCTAGACCATTTTGGATTCATACGAAATTTCGTGGTTGATCTTCTAGACCATTTTGGATTCCTTTCTCTCCCACGAAGTGGCGATTTGTCTCTCCTCCTCTCTCCGTTGATCTATCTTCTAGACCATTTTGGATTCCTTTTCCAACAGTGGTGATAACTATTCACGACGTTTAGTTGCTCTGTGACATGTATTAGGTCAGTGGTCACCTTGGCGGCGTTGGTTCGTCGATTTAAGGGTTGGAGTTGAGGTTTCATTCGTAGATTTTTCTCTCAGATTCTCGTCGGAGAAGCTTCAGTGGTCACCTTGGGTGCGTTGGTTTGTCGATTTTTCTCTCGGATTCTCGTCAGAGAAGCTTCGGCTTTTTTTCCTCTCTCTCTCTCGTTTTTTCTTTCCTTTCCTCTTTAGGTGTTTGCAAAGAGGGTGAAGTCTGTGTTAGACGAACACGACTCTCCACAATGGTATGATATTGTCCACTTTGAGCCTAAGCTCTTAGACCAATAGAGAGAGTATTATTAGATTATAGACCCATGATCATTCCCTAAATTAGACGATGTGGAACTTTCATCATCCAACACCTCCCCTCGAACAAAGTACGCCTCTCTTTAATCGAGGCTCGACTCCTATAGAGTCTGTCATTTTTTACTACCTTCGAGGAGGCACCAACACCTCCCCTCGAACAAAGTATGCCTCCCTTTAATCGAGGCTTGACTCCTATAGAGTCTGTCATTACTTTCATCATCCAACACCTCCCCTTGAACAAAGTACGCCTCCCTTTAATCGAGGCTCGACTCCTATAGAGTCTGTCATTTTTTACTACCTTCGAGGAGGCTTGCCTCCTTTTCTTTTGAAGTCCTTTGTTCGATATTTGAGAACTTACCAATCTATTGACACGACTAAGTTTAAGGACATGGCTCTGATATCATGTTAGACGAACACGACTCTCCACAATGGTACGATATTGTCCACTTTGAGCATAAGCTCTCATGGCTTTGCTTTGGGCTCTCTCATAAGCTCTCATAGTTGGACCTTGAGTTGGGTCGATCGGTCTGCCAATGGTGAGCACCGATTGGCTCGTCCCTTCTGTCGGTGATGCGCTCCTGGCCTTAACTGGCCTGGTCGTGCCTCCGGCGCTGTTACTTTTGTTGGATCGGTATGGCAACCCTAGAGGGGGGGTGAATAGGGTTTTAACGATAAAAGTGTTTAAACTTGATTAATTTTTCTAATGATAAAACTTTTTACAAATAAGTAGAAGATGATAATTACTAAAACAAAATAATTCAAGTCAAAACAATAATCAAGTAGAACATGCAATAAACATAATAATAATCTTGAAATTAAATAGGAAAGAGTTAGAGAAAATGACACCGTAGTTTTATAGTGGTTCGGTCAAACTCGACCTACTCCACTCCCCAAGCGCCTCTTGGGAATTTGAATAAAGAACTTTTCCGACTCTTTCCACGGATCAGAGCCAAACCGGTACACCGCTCTTTTTACGAGTTCAAGAGCAAACTCAATCCTTTCAACGACGCAGGATCAAACCGATACAAGTATTTGAGTTTGATAATAACACACCACAACTCTCTCAAAGAGTAGATTTACAATTTGGGATACTGACAACTATTTCCTCACACTATAATAATAATCCCTCTCAAGAATAAGATGAAAAGAAATAAACTTGTAAGCTTGGAGAGAGCAATAAACAATGGAGACTTTGAACAAATGAGGATTGAAGAATGTATGTAAGTTGTATCTGTTAAAAATGTGGGGAAGATGAGTTTATATAGAGGAGAAAAGTGGCAAAATGTAGGATTGAATATTGACCATTGGATTGTGTTAGGAATAATGGAAGGTGGAGATTAAAAGTAATTAAGTAAGAAAATTTTCTAAATTCATTTATTTCAAAATTTTAATATAATAGTAATATAATATAATAATAATAAAAAGTTATGTGAGTAACGGTAAAATGTAATTCAAAATTTATTATAAATATAATAATATAATAATAATAAAAATGATGTGAGTAACTACCAAAATTTTAAAATATAATAATATAATAATATAATATAGTAATAATAAAATTCGATGTGAGTAACGGTTATATTCAAATTTATATTTGTAAAAATAATTTTATTTAGAAATGTAATAATAAGAAAAACTCCACCATGTGTTACTCTTCCAATATTATAAATGTCATACTTTGATATATTTTGATTTGTCCATCATTTTGATTTTGTTGCCACATCATCACGTCGGGTATGTTGTCTCGACTCTAATTTCTTCGTTTTAGCTCTGATTTGAGTAATTGAAAAGTTGTTGTAATCGTTATTCCCGACCTTATACTGTGGACAGTTCAAAAAACTGAAAATAGTTAATAATTAAAAGTAGGTTTGTTATCATCAAAACATCAATAATTAATTCATTGAAATTAATTAATGTGAGATCAAGGGCCAATAAGCCAACAATCTCCCCCTTTTTGATGATGACAAATCATTTAAAGAAAAATTCATAAAAACCAATAATACAACATCCATGTAATAATATCACTACATACTAATATATTATCATAAATTTCACTCAAGAGCATATTCTCCCTTATATTAATGCCTCAAGAAATTATGAAACACCAAGTAAATGATTCATAAATTATAAAATAACAAATTTAGAACATATTTTTCTTAATTTTCTCCCCCTTTGTAATCATCAAAATGAACAATTGAAAGAGAATGCATTTAATAATGACATAATGGCTCCCCCTAAAAACATGCATTCAAAAATTATAAAATTCAAGATATATCACAACGAATAATACCAAGCTCAAGCCTATTTTTGCAAAAAATTTCTTCATTCAATGGCTTGGTGAAAATATCGGCCAGTTGATTATTAGAGTTTACAAAATCAAGAATAATATGTCCATTTTGCACATGCTCTCTAATAAAATGATGTCTAATGTCAATATGTTTAGTTCTAGAATGATGAATAGGATTTTTAGTTAAATTAATAGCACTTGTATTATCACAAAATATAGGCACACTATGAAACTTTAATCCAAAATCACAAAGAGTTTGTTTCATCCAAAGAATTTGAGCACAGCAACTAGCAACCGCAATATATTCCGCTTCGGTAGTAGATAAGGCAACCGAATTTTGCTTTTTACTAAACCAAGAAACTAAGGAACTACCAAGAAATTGACAAGTTCCACTAGTACTTTTACGATCAAGTAAGCTTCCGGCAAAATCTGCATCAGAATATCCTACCAATTTAAATTCAACATTTCTAGGATACCACAATCCTAGATCAATAGTTCCAAGCAAATATTTAAATATTCTCTTAACGGCATGTAAATGAGATTCCTTAGGACAAGATTGAAATCTAGCACAAAGACATACACTAAACATAATATCGGGTCTACTAGCGGTCAAGTAAAGTAAAGATCCAATCATACCTCGATAAGCTTTAATATCCACACTTTTACCTTTTTCATCCTTGTCAAGCTTAGTGGATGTGCTCATGGGAGTTCTTGCAATCTTACCTCCATTGAACTTGAATCTTTTGAGCAAATCTTTAGTGTATTTCTCTTGATTGATGAAGATACCATTCTTGAGTTGTTTGATTTGAAGTCCAAGAAAGAAACTGAGTTCTCCCATCATACTCATCTCAAACTCACTATGCATACATTTAGAAAATTCTTCACATAAAGAAGGATTAGTAGAACCAAATATGATATCATCCACATATATTTGCACTAATAGCATATCGTTTTCTTTAATCTTAATAAAGAGTGTAGTGTCGAGTTTGCCCATTTTAAAATCATTCCCAATAAGAAAATTACTAAGTCTATCATACCAAGCTCTTGGAGCTTGTTTTAAGCCATAAAGAGCCTTTTTCAACTTATAGACATGATGAGGAAATTCTACATTTTCAAATCCGGGAGGTTGTTCTACATAAACTTCCTCCATAATATAACCATTCAAAAATGCACTTTTCACATCCATTTGATATAATACAAAATTTTTGTAAGAAGCAAAAGCAAGTAACATTCTAATAGCTTCTAATCTAGCAACGGGTGCAAAAGTTTCTTCATAATCTATGCCTTCCTCTTGACAATAACCTTGAGCTACAAGCCTAGCTTTATTTCTAATGATATTCCCATTTTCATCCATTTTATTTCTAAAAACCCATTTGGTTCCAATAATAGAAGTATTAGATGGCCTATGGACTAATTCCCAAACTTTGTTCCTTTCAAATTGATTTAGCTCTTCTTGCATGGCTAAAATCCAAAACTCATCATTTTCGGCATCCTTAAGACTTTTTGGTTCAATTTGAGAAACAAAAGCAAGATTATTAAATAAATTAATAGAAGAGCGAGTTTTCACACCTTGTTCGAGATCACCAAGAATCAAGTCCTTGGGATGAGACAAGGCATACCTCCATTCTTTTGGCATTGATGAAGAACCTTCTTCCTTTAAGCTCATCTCTTCTTTACTCGTAACAATTTCTTTGCCGTTGTCACTAACGAGTAAATCTCCAAAATTTCTTTCTAAATCATCACTACAAATAGACTCATTAGAAATATTATTGCAAGATTCATCAAATACCACATGCATAGATTCTTCAATAACTAAAGTTCTCTTATTGAAAATTCTATAAGCTTTACTAGTAGATGAATAGCCAAGAAAAATACCAATATCCGTTTTTGAATCAAACTTTCCAAGCTTTTCTTTGTTGTTCAAAATAAAACATTTACAACCAAAAACTTTGAAATACCCAACATTTGGAATTTTGTTATGCCAGAGTTCATAAGGAGTTTTATTTAATGAAGGTCTAATTAAAACTCTATTTAAAATATAACAAGCGGTATTAACGGCTTCCGCCCAAAAATATTTAGGTAAATCATACTCATTTAACATTGATCTAGCAAATTCTTGTAAAGTACGATTTTTCCTTTCAACCACACCGTTTTGTTGAGGAGTCCTTGGAGAGGAGAAGTCATGAGAAAAACCATTATCTTCACAAAATTTTTCAAAGGCAACACTGTTAAATTCTCCCCCATGGTCACTCCTAATTTTAGTAATTAAAAACCCTTTTTCATTTTGAACTCTTTTTACAAAACTAGCAAATCTTTTCAAAACATCATTCTTATGTTTTATCATCAAAACCCAAGTAAATCTTGAAAAATCATCCACTATCACAAAAGCATAATAATTTCCTCCATAACTAGCTATTTTAGAAGGGCCAAATAAGTCTATATGGAGTAGTTGAAGAGGTCTAGTAGTAGAAATCATATTTTTAGATTTGAAAGAAGACTTAGTTTGCTTACCCATTTGACAAGCGTCACAAATTTTATCTTTTTCAAATTTAAGTTGAGGGAGACCTCTCACTAATGAATTTTTTGAAATATTTGAAATCAAGTACATACTAGCATGTCCTAGTCTTCTATGCCATAGCCAAGAGTTATCAAGCAAAACCGAAAGACATTTATCATTTGTAGGACAATCATTCAAATCAATAGTATACACATTATCGTCTCTATTTCCTACAAACAAAACTTTTCTATCACTAGCATTTTCAATTATGCAATTATTCTTATCAAATACAACTCTAAAACCTTTATCACATAATTGACTAATGCTAAGTAAGTCATGCTTTAAACCATCAACTAACAATACATTTTTAATGAGAGTACAAGAGTCATTACCTATAGTACCCTTACCAATTATTTTACCCTTCTTGTTATCACCAAAGGTTACTAAGCCACCATCCTTCTTGGAAAGATTGACAAACTTGGATGGATTACCCGTCATGTGTCTTGAGCAACCACTATCCAAGTACCACTTATTTTTCTTGGAGGCTTTCAAACAAACCTAAAAACAAAGATATTCAAAATTGACCTTTTGGTACCCATACTTGTTTGGGTCCTAGAAAGTTAGTATTCACAAATTTAGGAATCCATTTCATATTTGCATTCATATTAAAGACATTGTATTTAGATAAGTAACAAGAATAATCTTTATGTCCAAACTTACCACACGAGAAACAAACGACATTATGCAAGAATTTATTTCTTGGACTAAATTTGTGTATTCTATTTTTATTCGAAAAATTATTTTCTAAAACATTGTTAAACTTTGTATTTTGAGAAACTTTTCTTCCTAAATGAATATTTTGAGAATTTTTCAATTTAAAGCACTTAGGTCTAATATGACCTTCAACACCACAATAATGACATATAGGCACAAATCTAGATTTATCATACTTAGATACAAATTTACATGTGTTAGATTTAGGCAAGATAGGGGATGCTTTAACAAAGATTGTTTTAGAACTTGAAGGTGTAGAACATTCATCAATATAGCCTAATCCTCTTTTATCACCATATGACTTACCTCCTTCAAGTATTTTATCTAATTTTTGAGCACCTATTGTTAACATTTTAATAGATTCCTTAGCCCTACCAAGTTCTTGCAAATTATTTGATTCATTCTCTTTGAGCAATTTAATTAATTTATCTTTTTCACCACAATCATGCTCAAGAGTCTTGACTTTATCAATTAATGCATTTTTCTCATCACAATCAAATACATGCTTTTCACAAGGTACATCAATTTTAACAATATTATGATCCTTCTCCTTCAAGCAAGAAATTTCATTTAGCAAAGACTTATTTTCAATAATTGAAGTCTTATATTTCTTTTTAAGCACAACATACTTTGAACTAAGTTTTTCTAAATCAATTGTCATCTCATCAACAAGTTTAAATAATTCATGATAAGAAAGAGATTCAAGAGTTACCTCATCTTCTTGTTCATCTTCTTGTTCATCCTCTTTGTCACTATGAGCCATGAAGCAAAAATTTGCAACTTCTTCATCACTTCCACTTGCACTTTCATCACTATCATCCCAAGTAGCCTTCATTGCTTTCTTCTTGGATTTCTTAGATGATTTGAGGAGAGGACAATCCGTTCTTATATGACCCGGCTTTTTACATTCATAACATATTACCTCATCGTTTTTGCTCTTTTCACCTTTTGACTCTTTTTGATTTGTGAAATGTTTTTTTAATTGTTTCTTCCTTTTAATAAAATTTTTATACTTACGTGTGAAGTAGGCGACATCATCTTCATCAAGGACGTCCTCATCTTCAGAGTCAACTTTGATGAATTTTAGGGCTATACTTTTCTTCTTTTTGGATTCTTCTTCCATGTGCCCGTTCATGGTAATCTCATGTGTCATGAGAGAACCAATGAGTTCATCCAAAGGAAGCTTTGTGAGATCCTTTGCTTCTTGAATCGCCGTCACTTTTGCCTCCCAACTTTTAGGCAGAGACCTAAGAATTTTTCTTACATTTTCGGAGGTAGAATATACTTTTCCAAGATTTTTCAAAGCATTTAAAATATTAGTAAATCTAGTAAACATATCACCAATAGGTTCATTTTCCTCCATTTTAAATAGTTCATAATTATGAACTAACATGCTAATTTTTGTTTCTTTAACTTGATTGGTTCCCTCATGAGTTACTTCAAGAGTTTTCCAAATTTCATATGCCGAAGAACACATACATACTCTATTAAATTCATCATTACTTAAGGCACAATACAGACAATTGATAGCACTAGCATTCAAAGAACATTTTTTCATATCATGCTCATCAAATTCATTTTCTAATTTAGGCACCTCAATATTATTAACAATTTTTATTGGAATGTAAGGACCATTACTAACATTTAACCACAATTGATAATCAACGGATTGCAAATAAATTTTCATCCTAGCTTTCCAACATGTATAATTTGTTCCATCAAAATAAGGTGGCCTAGAAGTTGATTGTCCTTCACTAAAACCATTTTTAACACGTAGGTTTGCCATAAGCTCGAACAATAAAGTTTAGATAAAAAATCTATAGGAGCAACCTGCTCTGATACCAATTGTTGGATCGGTATGGCAACCCTAGAGGGGGGGTGAATAGGGTTTTAACGATAAAAGTGTTTAAACTTGATTAATTTTTCTAATGATAAAACTTTTTACAAATAAGTAGAAGATGATAATTACTAAAACAAAATAATTCAAGTCAAAACAATAATCAAGTAGAACATGCAATAAACATAATAATAATCTTGAAATTAAATAGGAAAGAGTTAGAGAAAATGACACCGTAGTTTTATAGTGGTTCGGTCAAACTCGACCTACTCCACTCCCCAAGCGCCTCTTGGGAATTTGAATAAAGAACTTTTCCGACTCTTTCCACGGATCAGAGCCAAACCGGTACACCGCTCTTTTTACGAGTTCAAGAGCAAACTCAATCCTTTCAACGACGCAGGATCAAACCGATACAAGTATTTGAGTTTGATAATAACACACCACAACTCTCTCAAAGAGTAGATTTACAATTTGGGATACTGACAACTATTTCCTCACACTATAATAATAATCCCTCTCAAGAATAAGATGAAAAGAAATAAACTTGTAAGCTTGGAGAGAGCAATAAACAATGGAGACTTTGAACAAATGAGGATTGAAGAATGTATGTAAGTTGTATCTGTTAAAAATGTGGGGAAGATGAGTTTATATAGAGGAGAAAAGTGGCAAAATGTAGGATTGAATATTGACCATTGGATTGTGTTAGGAATAATGGAAGGTGGAGATTAAAAGTAATTAAGTAAGAAAATTTTCTAAATTCATTTATTTCAAAATTTTAATATAATAGTAATATAATATAATAATAATAAAAAGTTATGTGAGTAACGGTAAAATGTAATTCAAAATTTATTATAAATATAATAATATAATAATAATAAAAATGATGTGAGTAACTACCAAAATTTTAAAATATAATAATATAATAATATAATATAGTAATAATAAAATTCGATGTGAGTAACGGTTATATTCAAATTTATATTTGTAAAAATAATTTTATTTAGAAATGTAATAATAAGAAAAACTCCACCATGTGTTACTCTTCCAATATTATAAATGTCATACTTTGATATATTTTGATTTGTCCATCATTTTGATTTTGTTGCCACATCATCACGTCGGGTATGTTGTCTCGACTCTAATTTCTTCGTTTTAGCTCTGATTTGAGTAATTGAAAAGTTGTTGTAATCGTTATTCCCGACCTTATACTGTGGACAGTTCAAAAAACTGAAAATAGTTAATAATTAAAAGTAGGTTTGTTATCATCAAAACATCAATAATTAATTCATTGAAATTAATTAATGTGAGATCAAGGGCCAATAAGCCAACAACTTTGAAGAAATTAGAGTGCCCAAAGCAAAGCCATGAGAGCTTATGCTCAAAGTGGACAATATCATATCTTTGTGGAGAGTCGTGTTCGTCTAACAGTCTAAAGGATGGAGGAAGCATCTGGTCATTCTGCGAGGTTGTGATCGTGTGAGATTCGAAAATTCGGGCCGGTCATGAAAATTCTAGTGACGGCCGGAATTTATATACATATATATATTCCATTTGATTGTTTGCATTTTGTTCAAATTCTTATAATTGAAAATAAAACAATACCTTCATAACCAAAATATAAACTCATAATACATTACCATTACAATTTTCAAAACATCATCTACTTTTGGTTTAATAAAATAATATTATTTAATTTATTTTAAAAATAATATTTTTAATATAAATCAAACTAAAAATCATTTGTTGTTGCAAATTATTTATTTAGGTTGTTCTCATAAACATGAGCGTGTAGAGGAATAATTAATATAGAAATGTTACCTCTCAATTTTTAGAAATAGATTGAGAACTTAGAACTTATTATATGTTCTCACAAATATGAGAAATAAATTATAAATACAAGATATAAATCCTAATTCCCTCCCAAATTCTCTTCTTCATCTAACCTTTATTTTAATTTATAAAACTGGTCACAATTTATGTAATGGATTAACAACTCTATGAAATTATATATTTGTTGATTTTTAAAGTGCGGATACACAATTATGGAGTGTTAAAATGATTGGAGAATTATAAAAACGCGATAACAAGAGATTTCTGGTAAAACCCTAAAAAATACTTTAATTTTTCCGTTTATCAATAAAAGAGAGTGAAAGGTAGTGAACAATTTAATATTCCCTTCGAACATGACATTAATCAAATGATTGATTTGTTAAAAATTAATTTAGAAAGAAGAGTCTTAATTTTAACTCTACAAAATATTTAAAATTATCTACAAAAATTCAAATAAGATTAAATTTTGTATTTTGTATTTTTTTTTTTTTTTTTTACTTTCAAAAACTAGATTCAAAATTGAAAGTTTATTAAACCTAAATTTTAATTAACAAATTTGAAATATATTATGAATTTTTGACATAAAATCAGAATTTAAAAGACATTTACTTAATATAAAATTAATTTTCAAATTTGGAAGAATAACCATCCTTTAATTTATTTTGTGCTAAATTAACTCACCAACAATTGAATAAAGCCTTTAAGAATTTGGAATGAATAAAATCTTTTAAGAAGTTGGAATTAATTAAAGCGCTAAAAGTATGCTCTAGAGGAATTTGGAATTAATTAAAGTCCCAAAAGTATGCTCCTCTGAATAAAGCCTTTTAAGAATTTGGAATTAATTAGTTGCGAGAGATTATGTGCAGAATTAGTTGGAACTAAATACAAGATCCATATTGAATTAATGAGAACGAGATTGAGAGAATTATGAACAGAGAACAGCGAAAGGAAGATGAAGATGGAAGAAGAGGAAGCATTAAAACTATTAACAGATAATACAAAATGCGAATTGCTTCCTTCTCTATCTTTCATTCTGGAACTATGGAAGAAGGAACCAGCAAAGCAGAGCAGAGCAGAGGAGAGCAGTACAACAGGCACACAACCACCACTAAAACTTGCAGAAAAAGAAAGAGCAAAATCAAAACAAAACCAAAAAAGCAAAAGAAAATTTCAGTTTCTCTCTGCACTAAAAAATTTACATCTCTTTGTTTCACACACTATTACTTAAATACAGAACCAAACTATTCATATAATTTTCAGAGATTTCAGATTCTCATCCAATCCAACTATACTCGGAACAATTCAGGAACCTATCGATTGAATATCACGGAATCCTTTTCTGGACGAAGCTATTCACCAGCGCTAGGGCATTACTGGTGTGCTTCTTCACCTTCTCCGCCTTTGCGCATACGTCCGCTTTCATCGGTCCATCAGCCACATCTTCGAATCCGTCCGTACATGTTTCCTGATCCGTAAGCGCGGCGCTCATCCACGTCTGCACGTTGCTCATTTGAAACCTGAACGACGGCACGTCGACGTCGTTGATCTGGCGCATCTGGTTGAGCGAGCCGCGAATCTCGTCGACGGCGTCGTCGAAGTTCGTAAAGCAATCGTGAAGCGCGGAGGCTGCTCTGTGATCGGCGCCGTAGTCGCCGACGTGAGACAGGTTGGATACATAAGAAGCCATTCTACGGGAGTTGGCAAGGCTGATGGTAATGGCGACGCGAGTGAGCGAGGCTGGATCCTGCTGAATGTCGTTTGCGTAGCGAGAGAGCGAAGCGTAGCAGACGTCGGGATAGAGAGTAATGACACAGCTACTCCGGATAAACTCGGTACCATTGGCAGTGGCGTTGACGGAGGTCCCAGCATCAGCAGCGGCGGCGGCGGCGGCCGGAACCTGGCGTAGGAGACAGAGAGTGGCTGCGAATAGGAGAGAGAGGATAAGAGGCGATTGAGGTTTCATTGCGTTTGTTTAGAATTAAAAAAATATTTGATCAAATCGGTCACAACAGAATCAGAATTAGCGATTTTGGTGCCAGAACTCGGTTCACGGGAGGGCCTTAAGTAGGCATCGAAGTACAAATGAAACTACCAATTTATCCATCATATTTGGATTTTATTACGAAATTGCCATTCATCCCTTTCATCCGTCCTGAATTGTATGGAAAGCCACATTTAAATTATTTATTATGATATGAATCTAAGTTATTTCGGTTTCTTGGAAATGAATTTATTATGCATCTGACATCTTAGTTAAATGTAAACATGAGACTATGTTATAAAAAAATATATGTATCATTTATAGGTAGTATTTGTCATTATGCTTAACTAATTAATGGTGCGCATGTGATTAGCCATTAATATACTTTAGAAACTAAAAAGGAGAAAAAAGTTACTGACCTAAAATCAATATAATTGCCCCATTATAGTCAACAACTTTTTTTAATTTTTTTTTAATTTTTTTTCCCTTGCCCAAATCCAGCAGACTTGAAATTCCGTCCGTTGCGTTGCGTACAATTGTAAGCTGAGAATATTATTGATTTTTTTTTTTTTTTTAAGTTTAATATTTTAAAAATTTAGAAACTAAAATAAAATAAACTAATTTTTGTTAATGGAAGAAGGAATATATTTAGTGAGTCATCGGAGATAATCACCCTTCTTTTTTCTTGTACGAAAGGTATGAATGACATAAAAAATAATGTCCTTTTTTTTAGCTTTGTCTCTGTGTTCCTAGAAACCTTCATTTATGTCTTTTGGGTTCGGGTCTTGTTTTCTTTTTAATTTCTGCAAAATTATTAGTCTTTTGTGTAATAACGCCATTTGACTCAAATAATTTATTATACATTTTCTTGGTTTTGGGCTTTAAATCATTTATTAACTAATAGGACACAAATGATTATATTTCTAATAATTATCCTTAAAAAAATAACTGTCGTTTTTTAATAATACATAAGAAAAACAAAAATCAAATTTTCCAGATTTTCCTTTTGTTTTGAATAAAATAAAATAAAAAAAGGGATAAGGATTGGTTGTCAAATAGCTTTCCAAAATGATTTTAAAAATAAAAGTGGAAATTTTGTAATTTTTTTGAAAAAAATAGAGATATTTTAATCTATTTACGTGGATAAATTAAAAGTTTTAATAATATAGATATTAGAGGACAAATATGAATGGAAAGAAATATAATTGAGGTGATATATATATATATATTTTCTATTAATGAGACGGATATTTAATGTAAATATAAATATAAAATAATATGGATAGGGAAGACAGAAGAAGAAGCCCTCTTCTTCGTTGCCGTGTCTGCTCTCACATGCATAACGACAAAATCATTCTAAGTTTCAAAACAAGATAATTTATTCATGTTTTTCAAAAAAAAAAATATAATAATAAAATCCATTTATATCATTAAATTTAGTTTCAAATTAGCTTACAATCGTCTAAATAAGAGTATTAAGAGAAGATAAAAATCATTTATATTAAAAAAAATTGTAACTATTTATTTAATTTTATCATTTTCCTGTCTTTTAATATAAAATTTATTCACATATGAAAAATATGCATTAACTGCTTTTAAACAAAATTCTAATGAAGAGTCTAAAATGATATAATTATAAAAAATAAAAACTTTAATTAATATAATTATTTATTTGAATTATAAGTAATACATTCTCTAAACAAATTAATTTAGCTAAATAATAAATTTGCCATATGATATTAGAAAAAAATAGACTTTAGTCACTATTCTGAATTGTTTGAACAAGTTGTTATAATTTCATAAAATTCCAATTTTATCAAACTATAAAGATTATTTAGGAAGTTTTTTTTTTCTTTCTATTTTTTATTTTTAAAAATGGTATGGGCTTTGTGTGGTCGTATGGTAATATTAAAGAATAGGAGGGGTAGAATTAAAATAAATGTTAGGTTGGGGGACTAAAGAGCGAGGCCGGGGCACCCCATTATCATTTATCGCAGTCTTTTAAATGTGCGGCTCCAGCGTGGCCACGCGAGTTCGTCGCGAAAATGATGGACGGCTGTGATTGAATATTTATTATTAATCATGCGCCGCCGCTCCACTGAAGTTGAGTCTTTCATGAAAGTAATCAAATCGAGCGGCGGAGAAGTGGTCCTTCGTTGACTCTCTTTGTGTTTATTAATTTCCGTTAATTGTCCACTGCTGTGAAGCGTGCTACCTTTTCGCACGTGTTGGGTCCCACCTATTTAATGCATTCCCTAAAAAAAAAAAATTTAAAATTAAAATTAAAATTAAAATACCAATATATTTTCTTAAATTTTTGCAAAAAAAATGTCTTTTAACTCTATATTCCAAATGCTTCTATAAATATAAATTTGTTATAAGGATAACTCCTAAAAACTAATCGTATATAAACTTCTATTATTAGTTTTGGTGGTTGGCGAAGTAGTCTTTGGTGGGGAGGTAACGACAAACGACAAAGAAATTCAGTGGTCACACGACAGTCGATAATAGTTGGCAATGTTAGCTATCAATAGTGATTGCCAACAATGGTGGTTGACAATCGTAAATAGTAGTGAATTTGACTTTGTCGAAGTAGAGCGCTACATTTAGATGAGGATGGAAATCAACAATGAATGGATCATAGAATTAAGTTATAATGATAACGATGATCGCAAGCATACCGTGCAAGGGAGATGAGTTGAGACGCAAATGATCAATGCAAACATGTTAGATTAACATTGGATAAAGTATAAATAAACAGATGATTTGGATGAGAGAAGAAGAAAAATGGAGAACATATATGCGAAGGAGATGCACAATTCCATGATTCATGGACAAACATGGCGGCGTAATTGTCTCCAATTAAGATTAAAGATTGGATAACAACCAAACACAAACATTAAGTAACGTTACATCCTATCCTTTACTTTACTTTCTAAAAGCTTTTCCAATCAGTCTGTTTCAGCCTCTCTCTTGTTCTTCAAGTTAATTAAGGAACATTCAATTTATAATTTTTTATTTTGATTTTGTTTAATATATTTTGAGGCAAAATTCGGAGGATTGTTTCATCGATAATATATATTAATTATTCTTTACTTCAGTTTTTTTTTTTTTTTTTAAATGGTGTATTCATACCAGATTTAGAATAGTTTAAAGGGATTTTCACTTTCTTTTTTCTTTTTTTCTTTTTTTAAAAAGGTAGAATGATATGAATATTTGTTGGTTAAAAAAGGAACACATGGAATTATAATTATTTTAGGAAAACATTAAAGAAGAAGGTTAATGAGGTATGATAATAATAATAAGAATAATAAGAATGCATGGAAAAATGGTAACGTAAACACATGATGGTTCTCAACTCCGTGAATAAGGGAAAAATAAATTGCAATAATCCACATTTTGACTTTCTTTTTGTTTGGAAAAACAATTTCATTCTATCACTAATTCTGAATGCTCTCCATGTTCTTGCCATCAATACTCTCAAACTTAGGTTCTTTTAGCTTTATTATAGCTCTTGAAATTCACCAATTTTTTTTTTTTTAATTCTTGTATTCGAAAAGTAATTACTTGTTAATCAAGGGATAAAAGAGAGTCGATGTTTGATGAGATTTATCGAAAAAAATCGCCATGATATGTAGTTCTTAGTTTTACTTTGTTTGATATCTAGAAGAAATTGTTTGAGTATATGCATATTTTCTATTCTATATCCAATAGTTAACTAGACAACAATTATATTGTAGCAGTTTCATTGAATACTTTCCTATACTTACGAGGGAGCGTTCTATCTAATTCTTTACACTTATCTTTGGTTTTTGAAAAGTAAGCTTATAAATATTATTATCACCTAATTGGAATGACTTAATCATACTTAATAAGTCAACCAACACAAGTCATGCATTTATCAAATTCAAAATGGATTCGACCGCGGAAACACTCCGATGCGATTAATTTTTCATAAGTTGAAACTAAAATAAAAAATAATTAATAATAATATAAATGGTAATTATAAATAATTAAAGAAAATTACTTGCAAATTAATGGAATTGAATTGGGTTTCTCATTTAATTAAAATTTAAGTCTATTCTGGATGCATTTTATTGGGCCTGGCCCATATATCTTCAGGCCTTTCGGCACGAAATGACCCGTACTATTATCTATTTAATTACGTACACTTAGCCTAATAAAATTAATTTCTTCTCTCGCTTTTTTTTTTTTATAATTTTTTTAATTTGAATAAAATAGGGGCCAGAAGGTAAATAATTGTTTACTATTTATAATAATTTATGTCATTTATTATATATAGTTTTATTATGTATCAAATAACTTAACAATTCACCTATCTAATTGTTACAGTCCATTAAGAATTTTAATTTCGCCACCCCAACACTTTTTGTCAACATCTTGAATTCTTTACGACATTTATCGTCTTCAAATACATGTCACCTTTTTTTCCTAACTTGTGACCGAATGATGTTGTGTTCTAATGTGATTTGTTTTTTAATGATATACTATGTTATTTACCAATTGTATGACACTCTAACTAGCTATATAAAAAATCTTCTCGCGTGACTTCTTGCCTAGTTCTTCTAGATAGTCTATTATCCATATCATCTTTTGTTCGGTTTAACTATTGCTACATACTCAGCCTTGGTAAATAAAATTGCAACATAATTCTAAAACCTAGACATCTAACTCACCTCAACATTCATGGCTTGCTCCTACTCGGTTGAATCCTCCACCTGTAAATCATAAATGAAAGTGACGTAGAACTTGGACCCACCAAGTGATGAAACTGTAGTTAGTCCCCAAACATCTGTATAGATCATTTTAAACCGTTCTTTGTTCGGTTCTCGGACAACTTTTGTGAAGCTAACTCGTTTCTGTTTGCCCATAACATATCTCTAAAAAACACTCATATCAACAAATTCAAGCTTTTTAAAACTACTTTCACAACCAACATTTTCATTCATTTAGTACTCATATGACTGTGTCTATTGTGTCATAGACTTGAACTAGAAGCACTCTATGCAACAACAACCATGTTTATCCACCATGAGTGATGTATAAGATTTTAGATTTTGTGTCATGCGCTAACACCATAACACCTTTCACAATTTTTCACAAACACTTTTAAACTATATTGCATAACCTGTGCTATCCAATTGACCAATAGAGATTATATTCTTCTTGAGATTAGAAATATATCTGACACTCTTCAATGTCCACTAATTTTCAGCTGGAGTTTGTGTGCGGACATCTCCTTTCTTTCGGTCTCTAAAACTTTGTTATCGACAAGATACACCTTTATGAAATTTTCAGATTTGAAAATTTGACCTTCTTTGGAGAGAAATGAAAATATGCACTTAATCACAAATTCAGGATTTAATTGGGCTATCCACCTTAAGAATTAGAGCATCCCTATTATCTTCAGCGAAATTTTTAGAATCATTATCATCTCTAGATTTGTGATTCTACTTCTTCTTTGGTTTTGTACAATCGGTTCGAAAGCGTCCAATTTCTCCACAATTACAATATGTTACATTTGATTTGTTTAGACATTTTTTCTGTTCTTTGATTTTGACCGTATTTGTTTGGGCCATTTGAGTTACTTCTTCTACTTCTATCAAGATTGAGAGTACTGCCAGATGAATCCCAAATTTATTGTTTGCAATTACTTTCACTGAGAACAATATCTCGAACTTCAACCGACTTCAATTTCTCAAATCCTAGGAATGATTGATCTAAAAAACAAAAGTATCCGAAGACTCGGGTAAAAATATCAAAATCAATGCTTTAATTTCATTTTCGAAATTAGTTTTCACCGCAATCAGTTGACTTAGAATCATATTGAATTCATTTATATGATTCGCGCTAGATCCATCTCCAAACATGTGTAGATTGAACAATATACGCATCAAATATACCTGATTCATAGCTAACGATTTTTCGCGCATCTTCACATTGCTTTCAACAAATACAATGTTATCGCCTTGATAATGTTGAACGCCACGTTTCTAGATAGCATAAGCTGGATCAATCATTGAGCTGTTGATCCTCGAGTTCCACTATTCCATGGTCATGGTATCTGACTTCACCTTAGACAAGGGTTCATGATGATTTTTCTAGTACAAATAGTCTTCAATTTGCATCTTTCAGAAACCGAAATTAGATTCATCAAACTTCTCGATTCCAATTTTTTAGTTTTCTATCTTCATAGATTGTGGTGAATCTCGTATGCCTTTGATATCCGTTTTTAGGATCATACAACAAATCACACACTCAATTTAGATGAACACAAAGAATAAGAGAGAGAAAATGCAAGAATAAATATTAACTAAGAGTTTGTATTGATAACTTAAGTATGTACCGTAATAAAGAATATAGAGAAATAAAATATATTTTCAAAATAACGACAGCAGCTTATCATATATAATTTTACTAGATGTACAGCAATGTCGGCGAAGGAGGATGGTGGTGGATGACTCTTGAGTGTTTGCGGCAACTGTGCGGTGGACTGTTAGGGGTGGGCGACAATGGCAATCGTCAGCTGCCACAGGTCGCGGAATGGGCAGATGGGAGCAATGACGCCAGTCGGTGGCTCGGCTTGTCGGTCTTTGGCATGAGGCGGTGGTGTTGGACTGAACAGGGGAGGTGACAGATGGGCGGTTTCGGAAAATAAGAAAACAACGCTGCCAAATGCACGGGGAAACGTGCGGACGAGAAAGAGGGAAAGAGTAAGAGTCGCAACTTGGGGGCTTTGATCTGGGTGACTGACGACCGGTCCGCTTGGATGGACCAGCTAGTCCAGTCCAACGGAACTCGTAGCATGCATGAAAGCAATGTACATTAGCTCTAGGGCGATGGAGATTGGACTAGATTGGTATCATGTCTTTGTGTGGATTTTAGGAAGTGTGCATATTAAAATTACAAATCACTTCTCTTTGTAAATTTTGACTGCTCCTTTTATTAAAATGTGATTAAAAATTTTTAACTTTTATACCTTTTAAAATCATTCTAGTAAGTAATGCTCGTAAATCTATTAAATCTAAGGGATGAATTATTTCAATAGAAATTAATTACTATATTAAACTACAATACAAAAAGATTAATGATTACATTACTAAAAAAACAAGGGCAAGATTTCCGTTAAAAATCATCACAAAATCCAAACCCTAATACCCATTTTGCTTTCCCTTTTTACAGTCTCCAAAAAAAGAAAAAGAAAAAAGGAATTTTCTTTTTGAGATTAATTTAATTTAATTTAATTTCTGGAAACTCTATTTCCTGCATTAGTTTGCAAAGTTGTACCTTTTGGAGTTCGGCTTTATGGGCTGCCACTATTTTCCACGTGTCCTCCATCAATTCGTCGGTGCACCGGCGACCTGTCAATTTGACCTTTTTCCCCTTCGCCCGTGCCTACTTACATTACAGCACCTCTCTACCCATTCACATTATCCCACCTCACCGCACCCCGCTTATCCTCTTTTTTTGTTTCTTTTTTTTCTTGAAAATATCAATTATTAAAATAATTACTTAAATTCCAAAATCCAACTTGTTCTAATAATTGTATTCCCCCACTTTTAGTTTTAATCCCAATATTTACTCCAAAATCTATCCGTTAAGTAAAACAAATTAGCCCCTATTATTGAAACTTTGTCGCTAATTGGGGTTACTCATAATAGTTTCAGACACATTCATGAGTTTAGAAGGTATAACTATTACTAATGTTCATTAAGTATTTTAATTTTTTATTATTATCAATTAAGTTTCAATGCAAAGGGGGAGAGCCTGATTGGTTACCATTTGGATAAATAAATAAGCAAACCCGACCCGAATGGAGGTCAAAACCCGGTCAAGAATGTCTTGCATTGGGACCCGAACATCATCCTATCACACCAATCCACGTGGCTTCCTCCCTTTGGCGAACCCTCTGGAATCCAATGACGCCTTTTTTCCGATATAAAATGAAGCACAAACCTTGTGTCCTCTGCATGTGCTAAGCCACTCCTCATCATTCACAGATATACACATACCTCACACCATGTCCACCTCCATTCCTCCATTGTTTCCGGCCGCTGCCGCTATTCTCCTCCTCCTCCTCTTTTCTCCTCCGGCAACAGCACAACACGATTACCACGACGCCCTCCGAAAATGCATCCTCTTCTTCGAAGGCCAGCGCTCCGGTAGACTCCCTCCGGACCAACGTCTCAAATGGCGTCGTGACTCAGCCGTCCATGACGGCTCCACAGTCGGAGTACGCATTCCTGTTCTTTCCTCTTATACACTGGCAATGTGATTCATTTATTTATTTATTTTTCCTCTTTTTTTGGTTGCAGAGAGATTTGAGCGGCGGGTACTACGACGCCGGAGACAACATAAAGTTTGGGTTTCCGATGGCGTTCACGACGACGTTGCTGTCGTGGAGCATTATCGACTTCGGACGGAACATGGGATCGGAGCTGGGGAATGCGCTTAAGGCCGTGAAATGGGCGACCGACTATTTACTAAAAGCGACGGCGGTTCCCGGCGTGGTGTTTGTACAAGTGGGCGATCCTTACTCCGATCACAACTGCTGGGAGAGACCCGAGGACATGGATACGCTTCGTACTGTTTATAAAATCGATGGAGCCCACCCTGGGTCTGACGTGGCAGGCGAAACCGCCGCTGCCTTGGCCGCTGCTTCCATTGTTTTCAGATCACGTGATCCTTCTTATTCCAGATTGCTGCTGAATCGAGCCGTTTCGGTATGTCGCTTTCACACCCGATCCTAGTCCCCATCCCGTCCTACTATTTTAAAATAAATAATAAAAAAGTTACCGTCCGCAGTAAATGGGTATTAACCGTGTTTTTTGTTTTACTACTTTAGGTGTTCGAGTTTGCTGACAGACACAGAGGAGCGTACAGCGGGAGCTTGAGAAGGGCGGTGTGTCCGTTTTACTGCGACGTGAACGGTTATCAGGTAATGTATTTATTTAGTTTTAAGATTAAATGTGGAGCGTGGGATTTGGTTTAGGGAGTTAGAGATGATTGAATGTGGGGCGTTGGATCAGGACGAGTTGCTTTGGGGAGCAGCGTGGTTGCACAAGGCGTCAAGAAGGCGCGTGTACAGAGAATACATTTTCAAGAACGAGGTGGTGCTCAGGGCTGGGGATACCATCAACGAGTTTGGTTGGGATAACAAGCACGCGGGAATTAACGTCCTCATTTCCAAGGTTTCTTTTACTCTTTTACCCCTCCCAATTATTTTCTTTTTTTATTTTTTTTAAATATATATATTCCTGACCGTTGGGTAGTTCGATATGGCATATTATTACCGTGTTTCCTGTTTACGGTTTGGTTCGGGTTTTTTTTAATGGTGACGTGGGTTATCTCAATCGCCACGTGGCTTTCAGGGGTTTGATGGTTTTCCCATCTTGCTGCTGCCGCCCATGGTTAGAACATGGGATGAGCAAAGGGGATGCATGTGATGTGATGAAAAGGAATGTTAGTTGGCAGTGAGGGCAATAAAAGAAGGAATTATTCCAAGTACTAAATAAATAAATAAGGAATAATACTAATAATTGTATTTTTGAAATTATTGGATAAGGTGTTTTTTCTGTGTTATTGATAATTGAGTCTGTGATGAGGATAGTGATAAGGGCATGGAATTTATGGGTTTGAAATGGTGAAGAAGCATTTTATCCTCTGCCCCCATCCATCATCCCCATTGAAATAAAAAGTCATGAATGAATATCCCGATGATGAAGGGAATAGGAATGGGCAATTTTGTCATCTCACTTTCAACTGGGGCGGGCCCCCACCCGGATGAGTGGGTTACTGGTGGATTCATGTGCTTAAAGTCTGTGAACTTATAGTTCCTTCACATGTGCTTTACTCACTTTCTTCTTCACTTTGATTGCGACTTTCTTCTTTTCAAATCCAAATAATTTATATATATTTTTTCTTGTTCTTTCTAAATTATAAATATATAACTATTAATTACTAAACGAAATATTAATGTTTTTAATTTAAAAAAAAAAAACATGGCAGGAGGTGTTGATGGGCAAAGCAGAATACTTCTCATCTTTCAGGCAAAATGCAGATGAGTTCATTTGCTCAATTTTGCCTGGAATTTCTCATCCTCAAGTTCAATATTCTCCTGGTATTAAAATTATTATTTCTTTTTATTTATTTATTTATTTATTTATTTATTATTATAGAATGATAATTTAGGATGGGATTGAAATGAATTGAATATATATAGGTGGGTTGATATTCAAGGCTGGAGGAAGTAACATGCAGCATGTTACCTCCCTGTCTTTTCTACTCCTGGCTTATTCCAATTACCTTAGCCACGCCAATCGCAACGTCGCATGTGGCGCTTCTTTAGCATCCCCCGCTATGCTCCGCCAACTCGCCAAACGTCAGGTAACCTAACCTCACACTTGTATTTTCTTATCATCATTTTATTTTATCTTATTTTAATCAAAAAAATAATTCTTCCTTTCTTCAAATAGAATGTATGGAGCTATATAAAACACTATATTATATGCCCACCACACCCATTATCTATCCCTCATACGGACATGTCGTTATGGGGTCACATAATTACTTTTCTAATTCATCGATGTCTCTATTAATTAATTTTTTATTTTTCTAGAATAAAAAAGGAAAAAAAAAAACTGGTGGGGCCCACCGAAATCTAGGGTCTAATAAACAAATGAAAAACGAACAACGGCTAGAGTTTGTCTTGTCTGAGGTTTTTTTAGCTATGTTTGTCTATTTGTCTGTGAGTGCTAATACCCAAAACAGTGTATTTTTTTTTAATACGTTGGATGTTAATAAATTTAACGGCTATGATTTCGTGGACCCGACAAGTTTAATCATCAATCACACGTTACTCCCCCCCCCCCAGTACTTTTGACCAATCGGGAACATAAAAGTTACCTTTTTCCGATTTCTGATTTATATCGGGTTTCGTTTCTTGTTTGGGTCCCACCAGGTGGACTACATTCTAGGCGATAATCCACTGCGGATGTCATACATGGTTGGGTACGGGGCGCGCTACCCTCTCAGGATCCATCACCGGGCCAGTTCCTTACCGTCGGTTCGGGCGCATCCTGGTCGAATCGGGTGCAAGGCGGGTTCGAGGTACTTTCTGAGTCCGAACCCGAACCCGAATGTGTTGGTGGGAGCGGTGGTGGGTGGGCCCAACGTGACGGATGCGTTTCCAGATTCGAGGCCGTTTTTTCAAGAGTCGGAGCCCACTACGTACATCAATGCACCGTTGGTGGGCCTGCTGGCTCACTTTTCGGCCCATCATTGATGGAAACGGAGAAACGTTGTGGGGCATGTGTACGGTGTAGGAGAGATTATTATTGTAATAGTAGTGTAGTGGTGCGCGAAGGTCACCCTGCCGTTTCTTATTTTCCTAAGATTCCATATGTTCTATCAATTCCGCGATTAAAAATGAACGCTCTCATTATTATAATATTTCTTTTGCTATGTTACAAAATTATAATATTGTTTTTAATTTACTTCATTGTGGTTCATTTTTTTTTAATGAAATGAGTTTCATTTTATTTAATTTTCATGTAATTCATCAAATTCTAAACTAATTCATTAAAAAATTTAATTAAATAGACTAAAGTATCACATAATAAAGCTTAAAAAATTGTAAGTTGAAAATAAATAAAAACTTTTTTATAAGGGAATAAAATAATTAAAGGATAAGGATAAAAAAGGAAAACAAGGAGCAATATAAAAAGTGGAAATTTGATTGGAGTTGGTGTTTGACCAATGACAGAATATAATATAATCCCACAAATAAAATACTCTCTCTCTCTCTCTCTCTTTTTCTTTCCCCTTCCCCTTTCCCTTTCCCTTTGTCTTCTTCCTCCTTCTGCCACACATTTTGTCCACTTTATGGCCATTGCGTATTAGTTCTTCTGCTTCTCAGAAGAAGAAGGTCTTTCTCCCCAATTTGATGAGGTTGTAGTGTTGGTGGGTGATGGAGGGAGTGGAAATGGAGCTTGAGCGGCGTACTAAGTTTCTAAATGGCCTTATTTTGAAGAAGAAGGCGGTGGAGCAGCAAGACCAGCCCCATCCTCCTCTTAATGTTCGCGTCAGAGCCTCCGATATGTCATTTCCCTTGCAGAATCGCGCTTTTACCTCCGCTCGTCAACTCCTCGATTCCATGCCTGCCAAGCTCGATACCAAACGCCTCGCTCTCGCCCTTAAAAAGGTTACCCAAAAAAATGCGTTTTCATGGTTGCGATTTCCTGACAACTGCAGCTTCCTTATCCAGTTTTCTTTTCAAACTTTGGGTTAGAGAGTTTTTTCAGGGATCCTTATTGGACTGTTTCGAGTAGTGTCTGGAAGGTGTTTGATGAAATGCCTTTTATTTTTATTTTTTTTGGTATGAACTAAATTTGTTTATGGGATTTTGAGTGTGAGATTTCTGGGATCTCTTCAATTTAGGCATACAATTAAGGGTTTTCTGTTTCATTGCACTTGTTTCAGTTGTGATTCATGGAAGTACTCGGATATTGAAGGGGTCTGTCTGAATTTAATTAACTGGCTCTGGTACCGTGCATGGGTTCACCTAATTTGAACATTTCCAAACTTTGGGATTGGCTTTTCAATTCTAATTGTAGGTAGCAAATTAAATGTCCTTTATTGCTCTACAGTCCTCTCTAGACTTACACTTCCGTAGAAGGAAAGTTGGGGGCATGGTGAGGACGACGGGATGCCATTAAAGAAGATGTGCACATGGCAATTCCAGTGGGAATTTGCTGCCCACCATTAATTCCCACTGGAATATTCTTGTGCTTGGGACAAAGTCCATTCAGTGTTCTAAGTTGGGACTTTTTTGTTTTGTGTTAGCCTCCCTATGATTTAACATTTGAAATCTACTTTCACCGTCTCTAAACACTGTTTAGTTCCTAAGGTTAGAATATGTGAGTTTTTAAGTTTGACTTAGTGATTAACCTAGAGCAATTTTAGGATAATTATTTTTAAGAACTTGAGGATGAAGTTTAGGAGATCGGTTCTTTGTTTCGTTTTTATGGTACTGAAAAATGTGCTTTTCACGAAAGATATTGACAAAGTTTAAAATTTTCACTTTTTTTTATGAGATATCCACAGCTTGTAAGTAGCTTTATGGTTCACTTCAATTTTGTTCATTAGTATTGAAATAAGACTAACTTTAAATGTTTGTAGGATTTATGGTTCACTTCAATTTTGTTCATTAGTATTGAAATAAGACTAACTTTAAATGTCTGTAGGATCAAGCAATTGTTGATGGTTTTAGCCGTGAGTATAATAAGCAGCTTAATACCCCAAAAAGTAAAAGAATATTAAGATAAGGTTTGATGGTAATAAGGTTTCACTGGGTTTTCAGGAATTCGATTCCTCCTATGGTCCTGCCTGGCATTGCATTGTGGGAACTTGCTTTGGCTCCTATGTAACACATTCTCTAGGTGGCTTCTTGTATTTTTCAATAGATAAAGTTTACATCCTTCTCTTCAAAACGTCAGTCGAGCCCCTGACGCGTGCAACCTCGTTAAAAGATTGAGTTCCTCAATTCTAAATGAGGATTGAACAGCTGCTGAAGTCATGAGCAAGAACAACCAGGTTCAGTCTACTATTCTTTTTGGTTGTATCATTGACTTTTATCTTCTTTAAAAAACAGAGTGTGCAGGTGATGTGAGTTATTATGAAATTTTGTAATGTGCAGTCCAACATGAAGGATTCCTGATGTTATAAGATTTTATGTTTATGTTAACTTCTTTGTTTGAGGTAGTAAATAAAAAGCTTTGCTACAATTCTCAGTTTTTTTTTATCAACTAAAAGTTTCATTACATAGATTGAAAGTTAACCCTTCTAAGTATTATTAGTATGACTGATAGGTTGATAGGATCACATTTATATGCCTTGCGAGAATATCATGTATGATAAATATGAATGGAATACCATGAATATGTATGTGTGTCTTGTATCATCTCATTGAACTGTGAATGGATGTTGTATGTTATATGATCATGATTACTTCTCTAGCATGTTGTGTGGATGCTTACACCACAGTATTATATTCTTCATGTTCCTTTCTCTTCTATTGTTCTTCGTCCGTGTGAGCGTGTAGTACCCCGTACTTAAGCCTATAAGATACGTTAACTAGACTGCCTAGTAGACCTATATGCATGTGCATGGACCGTGGAGAAGTACTATGCACGCTACCTCTTACCCAAAAAGGAAAGTTGAGCTCAAGAAATAGATATGAAATTTAGGTCACTTTAGTCAGGTTACTTGTTCTATGTGTAAGTATTTCTTGACCTCAATTTTAGGGTCACTTATTGAGTATTTTTAAACACACGTCCTTTCCATTAACAATTTTTTGGTAAAGACAAGGGATTGATGTATGGTTGACGACTTTTGCAGTAGAGGCCTCGAAATGATGAGTTTTAGAAGTTTTCTATATTATGTGTTTTCATTTATAGAACCGTATGTTAGTCTTATATTGTTTTAAATTTTGTTTTAGGAAGTCATCGAAAACTCTTATAATAATAGTTTGCCTTTTAATACGGACAATTTTACCTTATGGAATTGCAAAATAAAGTGATTAAGATGTTTTCTTAAATTTCTCAAGATTTTTGTAAAGAATTCTTACTCGAAGAAGATTGAATAGTAGTACAACACTAAGAGTGACAATACTAGAATAAGATTGAAAAGTAGTACAATCATGGTGGGACTATCTTTTCATAAAAAATTTCCTTGGTTTCTTCTTTTCGATGTGTAAAATTGGATTTGTAGTACTTCTAGACACATGGCACACATATGCACACATGGATCTACCAAGCAGGCTCGTTTGCATACTCCTAGGCTTGACTATGGACTAGCTCATGCTCACATTGCTAAAAGTCACATAGGGAAAGGTGCACATATAATATCATGATCTACACATTCATACTAATCATAATAATGAAGTATCTCGATGCAAGTGACATACAAAATGCATGAGGTTTCATAGTTTCAAATCATGATACATACTTGTGATGTAAATCATACCTCCATTCTTTTCATTATATAACATTCCAACGAGACTTGACATATCTTTCATGATTAACATACATAACTTATCAATGTCTCTTAGACATAGTGTGAACATACTAACATGACGTACATGACATAACATATGGAGGTTAATGCATCATATTACATTCATATCATACATAATGTCATAACACAGTATAATCATAACATACCATAGCATCATAAAAAATATGACACAAGAGCCATAGGTAGGTGTCATTCATCCAGCATACAAGTCTTCCAATCAAGCTCGTGAGCATCCAATAGTAAAACCACTTACTTAGTTGACCTAAGCCAAAATCACTAAATTTCTTAAGTCAATATTTGTTTGATCTTACTCGTCGAACTCTATCTCCTAAGCTAGATTAAGCTGATAGAGTAGTATGGTCATGTACCTAACAACCTCATTGTTCGAATTTTGTAGGTACTTTATTATCACCATTTGATCAAGTGGCCTTAAGAGAAGCTTGTTACTACTTGTGTATTAAGAACACATTCATATTTGTGGAAGTTTTTATGGCATCAACATAATATTCATGCTTTGTCCACTTAAAACCTGAAAGAATGCGATTGCTTTAAGAATAAAAAAAGATTTCAAAGAACAGCAACAAGGGAGTAGCTACCGCTGAAGGAGGAGCTACCGCTGCAGGAGGAGCACTTGGTGAAACAGCAACCACAGCAGCCCACGATCAAAATATACATTCAAGCATTGTTTTAAGTAGACTTAACCTTGTGCAGGAGGAGCTACCGCTGAACCGCTAACGAGTGGTTCAATGATCTCAAGGAGTTCATTACACAAACCTGTGAACACAACAGAATCTGTTTCAATGGGTCTAAACTTGACAAGAGCTGAGGGAACCAACTCCAGATCATCTAGTGTTTTAGTTTTCTCTCCTACTGCTGGAAAATGGGCGATTGTACGTCGTTTAACACCGACAGGTTGTATCAACTCGAACTCCAAACTCGGTTCTTTCAGTGCTGTGCTTACAAACTGCCAAGGAAGCAGACATTCATTCAGTTTTCGTTCCAACAGCCATGGAACCAAAAGATATGAAAATTGTGTATTGCAGAGATGGTTAGGGAATGACAAGTATGCTTACATACACAAGCACCCGCATAGAAAAGATCAATGATTACTAATGAGATTGTAGTTCAAAGGATGAATCAGAAAACAAAATTTTTCACCTTTGATAATCAAGACCACTCTACACACCACCAAACAATTATCAAGCTATTGGCTGAATGTGTGTTCTCGTTATTTCACTTGCTATGTTTAGTCAAGTATAATGTGAGATCCCATGTCGGCTGGGAGGAGAACGAAACATTTTATATAAGGGTGTGAAAACTTTTTCCTAAAAGACGCATTTTAAAAACCTTGAGAAGAAGTCTGAAAGGAAAAGTCTAAAGAAAACAATATCTGCTAGCGGTGGGCTTGGGCCGTTATAAATGGTATCAGAGCCAGACACTGAGGGATGTGTCAGCGAGAAGACTGAGCCCCGTAAGAGGGTGGACACGAGGCAGTGTGCTAGTAAGGACACTAAGCCTCGAAGGGGGTGGATTGGGGGGTCCACATTGATTGTAGAAGGAAACAAATGCTAGTGAGGACGCCAGGCTCTGAAGGGGAGTGGATTGTGAGATCCCACATCGGTTGGGAGGAGAAGGAAGCATTCTTTATAAGGGTGTAGAAACCTTTTTCTAAAAGACACGTTTTAATAACCTTGAAGGGAAGCCTGAAAGGGAAAGTCTAAAGAGAACAATATCCGCTAGCAGTGGGCATATAATGTCTAAATGGACCGCCACAAAAACAATAGTAGTAGACAAGAAGAAAGAAGTTGCCACAAATACTTCTCCTTTTCACTAGATTCGTTGGGAAATATATACCTATAATACTAACAAACGAGCAGTCACAAAACCATTTGAAGTCATTTGAAGGGGAGAAGGGATATCATACATTAAATTAAGCTTCAATGTTTAACTCAACGAATAGAGCTAACCTCATATAGAGCACTTGTTGGTTCCCAAGGAGAAAAAACCCCTTGAAGTACCACACCATCAGGAAACTGAATTCTGATCACTGTTCTATTGTACTTTCTCCGAGCAGCTTTGGCTTGCTTTTCCTTGTATGATTTGGGTACCAAAAGCTGAGATTCTGCAATCTTTTGCTTCCTCATTACAGCTTCTCTTTTAACCTCTTCAATAGAGAGTTTGTAAAATGAGTCTGGTAGCTCAATGTTTGCTGCAACGTTTTCAGGGATTGCAAAGAATACCCGAGTCTGAAAGTAATAAATCATCCAAAACATCAGCCGAGGAAGAGCTATGAACCACAAAAACGAAGTAAAATGGATACCCAAAAACAGGGTTCATTTTGCAATGGCTTGGAAAAGCTACAAAGGGTGACAGGAGACGCAACAAAAATTAAGGTTCCAAGAAAATAGGATTGGTAACTATAAATTTCTCAGTTAACCATACCTGTCTGTCTACCTTCTTTGGCTCAATCAGTTGATCAGTGGATGCAGTGCTGCTGCCTCTCTTTTCCTGTTCATCAAGCTTTGGTTGATCAATGGAATCTATTACCTTGCTTAGTATGTTAATTTCTTCCTCTGTCGGAATTTCCATGGTTGCCCACATTTCACCATCTTGTTCTTGCAATTTAAAACCTACAAACTCCAACAATTCCACTCCCCCGACAGCCTCGCCAATTGCCTCCTTAATTTTGGGATTACTCAGACGAATCTTCCTAAACTTTGAATTCTCTGGTTCCCGAATTATGTTCCTCAAAAGCGTAAGAATAATTTTCAGTGAACCTTGTGAGGGCTTACCTGACAAGAAAGTGCCAAGACAACCCTCCAATTCACTCGGGGATTCTGCATCATTTGTGAGCAGCAGATCTGCTGGTCTCCTGGCTGTATTATCATCGACACAGCTATCTACGTGCACCGAAACCTCTTCTTCCGACCTGTAATTTTGGCCACAAATCGGACATTCGAACACATTTAACGAATACCCATTTCCAGATTTTTTGCCAGATGTTATAAACGAGTCAAATGGGTCAAATCCATCAGCCGGGGAACGTTCTGGGCTCGATTTAATCGAGAGATGTGGCCGGGTTGGAGCCGCGGAAATTGAATTCGCTACCGGGGGCTTGACCAGATTCGGGTTTGAAATGGGATTGTGCAATGGGCGGGTAGGCAAAGAAGTGGTCGACCCGGAAGAAGACGATCCTAAAACTCTTCCCGGGCCCTTGAAACTGGTAGAAGAAGATGAGGTCAAGGGATTATTGAAGCGTTTCATGAAGCCCTTAACCTTGTCCTTCACATCACCCATGATAAGAAATCGTACGTGAAACGAAGAACTTGTAACAATCGCCGAGTTTGGAAGAATCTAAGCAACCGGAAGAATGCAATTTACACCAAAATAGCTTAAAATTCTCCTCATCCACTGAGTAAGAACGTTGCTGATTGGAGAATTGGCGAAAGATTTGAGCTTACAGAGAGAACAAAGAGTAAGGCTGTTATTGGCGGTTGATGTTTTTCTTCCTCCTCCAACGCGGTTTTATTTATTTATTTTTTAGTTGGTGGTCATATTTTAATGGAAAATTAAATTATATTGGCATCATCGAGGAACTTTACTTTATTGATATTGCCTAAAACTAAATTTGTTTATTAAATTATCTCTTCAAATTTATAAATCTTATTTAAATCTACTAAAAATAATAAACATAAATTTGAAAAGTTATGAATAATTGAATCCGTTATTGTGCAATTCCAGCCCAGCCCATTGGGCTTTTCTGCATCAGGCCCAACTTTGTAATAATTATATCCATGGGCTTTTTATAATCTCATTTCGAGATGAACTATTTGTTTCCCGTCTAACTACAAACTACAAACCAAGGCATATTGAGATGCGATTAGAAAGACTAATATCAAGGAGGTCAATTGCATTTAGTGCATGCTTGGATTGATGACAAATTTTATTTTTCCTTTTAGTGTATGCTTCGATATAGTTTTCTTTTTCTATCTTCATATGCATTTGGTCTTATTTTTATTTAATTGAAACCTTGGATTTATCTATGTTCGTAGTATGCATGAAAATATGATACAAGAAGTATATCAATGAAATTTGAGCATAAAATGAGTTGGTTTTGATGCATGTAAGTGTATGTTAAATGTTATTATGCACATTTATCGAAGAATAAATTGTTGGGTTGTTATTTGACTGAAATTCAGAGCATGTCTTTAAAATGGTACAAAGCAAGTTATTGGAAACCTATTATAAATGTTTGAGCATAGAATGAGCTGAGATGACATATTGAATGCTATTATGCATTTTTACTAAATGCGTACACAGTGTCTTATGAACTGAAATTTATGACTAGGTATACATGTTTAGGCTGTTATCTTATATCTCTATTTCTATACTTGTGATGTTAGCGGTTGTATAAGGATAGTTAGGGGTTTATCAATTAACCCTTAACTGTAAACCTAACTTGATTGTCTAAAGAATTGACTTATTTTATTGTTGATAGTACCCTATGGAAATTTCTAGGCAGTTTTCCAATTAATTTTTTTTTTTAGTGAACCTGTCACGAGTGGCAAGGGGTCCACAATTGTACCTTAGAGTTGGTCGATCTATAGGCTATTGTTATGGTTCATGTATGTGAGTTAGCAGTTATACGAAGACGGTTAGGGGTTCGTCAACTAACCCTTAACCATAAACCTGACTCGCTTTTTAGGGGTCCAAATAACTATAGAACACGCCTATTTTGTTGTTGATAGTACTCTGTGGAGATTTCAAAGAAGTTTGCCCGTTGGTTTCCTTTTAGTGAACCTATCACAAGTGCGGGAGTCCAAAGTATTACACTTGAGTTGGTCCAATCTTAGAATGCATGAACCTTATGAGTCCGATTCAGAGGTCACGCCTCGAGAACTTAGAGATATGAGGATGAAAGAGACCAAAAGAAACAACTAACTAGGAAACCTAGAAAACTTAAGAATATTCCGAGGGCGGGAGGTCCCGATAGAACCAAGAACCAAGAAATGAGTAAACCTAGAGTGTAACGTAGGAAAGGCCTAGACTGGGGAACAAAACCCAAAATGAGAATAAAACACTAAACGAATGAACTAAAATCAATAAAACTTAATAGCGAACTAAAATATACTCATCTCTGCTAGTTTGAAAATTTCAAATGAGACATGATTGAGCGGTTGAGGCAGATGCGCACATGAATTCGAGGTTATGGAGTTTGGGCTGGATTGGTGTCTTTTACCCCTTTGATATATTTCTCTTATGAACCCTTAATTTTTGTATTTCAAGATTTTACTAGCTATCTATTTCTTGTTTTGAGTGGGTGCGTTGTTGTGGTTTGTTAATTTGATTTGTGTATTGTGAACGATGTTGTATTAAATTTAAAGTTTCTTTATGTGCATGCACGTTTAAAAGATTTAAATTAATGCATATTTTTAAATATTTTGCATCGGTAAGTATCAGTCCGCCGCTCGAATTTTAAAAGGCAAGTCATTACACGATTTATAGGTTCACAACAATGGACTAGTAGAACTTACAAATAAGGAGTCTTAGAACACTAAAGATAAACCAACTAACAACCCAAATAAGATTAAGACATGTGAGACGAACACGGCTCTCCACAATGGTATGATATTGTGCACTTTGAGTATAAGTTCTCGTGGCTTTGTTTTGGGCTTCCCCATAAGGTCTCACCCCAATGGAGAGAGTATTTTTTGTTTATAAACTCAGGATGATTCCCTAAATTAGTCGATCAAACTTAAGTCTTCTCCACGTGACCCGAAGTCAATCTTGGGTATAGTCTAGGAAAAGGCTATAACTTATGAACGAATAGCAACCTCAATAACTTTATCTTTATTCATACCTAATTTTAAAGCTACAGTTCCATCTCGACCATTTTTACGCTTCTTCAATACATGAAACTTTCATGACCAAAACTCATTTTATCATAAATCGAGCTACCTTATATATTCTCGGAAATAAGACGCTCTAGTTTATCATGTTCAAACGACTCGATATTATTAAGAGAGAATTTTAGGTGACACTCAAAATCATACAAAAACAAGTCGTTGTTGAAGATCGTTTTGAAAGGTTGGGACAAACACCCAAAAAGTGATGCCTTTTCCAAGGTTTAAAAACCAAAACCTAAAGCTATGAATAATAGATGTGAGAGAGAGATGAGATGAGATAATAATTTGTATGGTTCTCACCTAACTACATCCCTACCACCATTTTATCATTGTCGAGAGGTATCGAGACTCTAGTTTATTATTTTTTTAATAGATAGTCGAGAGGTATCGAGACTCAAGTTTATTATTTTTTTAATAGATAGATGATGTAATGTTCTAATTTATCTTAATATTTTATAACCAGTTTCTATTTACTCATTATTATTATTATTTAGTTGAGGTTTATAGTGATTAATTGGTGAGAAAATTAAATTGGTTAAATGAATAGAAAAGAAATATTTTTGAATACCCCACTTAAGACAGCTTGGCCAAGTCATAGGTTGGTAGATGTGATAGAGACTCATTCAACTTCCATTTATTTTTCAAATGAACGACTTGGACTTGGCCCTTTTATTCATTCATGACTCATATATACTAATTAATTAAGTCATAAATTATTTAAAACAAATGAGTATTTCATACGTCACAAATTTATATATTATGAATAGATTACACTTTTTAATATGATATAAACATATACAAAACAAAATATATTTCTAAAAGAGAAATGTTTTTCATTGAAGCACTCTTTTTTTTAAAAAAAGAAAAAAAAAATTATATAGTTTTTGTTTGCTTCCTCAGCGCAAAGAGAGAGAGAGGGCATTCCCAAATGGAAGTGGGTCGGTGTGAAATTACAGAATTGACCAGACAACCACAACTTATCTACAACCTGCAAATAATCCAAGATGGGAATTTATTTTAATTTTTAAGGAAATGAAATAATTGGCAAATTATCACGACCCAATATTTTTGCATCAAAATATTTAATTTATAGTAAAATTGAGCCTTTTTTTTTTTTTTTAATTAAAGATTGCTGGTAAATTTAAAATTATTTTAAATATTGAAAACAAAAGTTTAATGAAGTACATAGGTGAGAGATTTAATTTAATTGATTTTAAAAATTGAAAATTAAAATTAAAACGACAACCAAACTCAAAGAAAAAAAAAATAAAAATGATAAAATGAGTTACCATGGCCTTTTTCATATCTTTTGTTGAGCCAAGTGATAAATAGGATGAGCAAGGCAATACCGGCAATGAGTCCAACAATGATCGCTATTGTCTTGTTGGTCTTATTGTTATTATCCTTTGAATCATCTGTCAAAATATTACCCAACTCCTCAATAATTATTTCAATACTATTTTTAAAATTATTTACGAAATTGTAAAATTATATAACTAAAAATAATAAATAAATAAACAAAACTTACTTTAGTACCTACCATTTCCATTTGCATCATATCCATATCCATCTTCATTTCCGTCCGCGTGAGTTGCACCTCTAGTAAACCGCGCGTAGCATTTGCCCAAAAATAAATCTCCCCAAGCGGAAGGTCCACAAGCTGATTTAAGCCGTCGGATGGCTTCAGATATACAATCCTGACACCCTCCCACGCTCAAATCACCAACGCATTGCGCCACACTCCGTACATCGCCGGCCCCACCAGTTCTGTAGGTCCCACCACCGGTAACCAACTGCGCGAGAGCAGGATCAAGGCCAGTCAACGCGTCCAAGTCAGACCCAATCGACGGCCCACATTTCTTCACCACAACCGTCTTGTCCTCCACTCCAAAGAAGCGTTTGTTGTCGTACTTGACGAGACAGCCGTCCAACTGCAGCGCAGCGCCGTATGCGTCGGTGCACATGGTCCCGAGGCGTGTGACAGCTCGAGTGACGCACTGGTAGCAGTCGTTGGGGGCGAGGTCGGCACGACATTGGTAGAGGCCGTAGATGGTGTCCTGTGGGGAGGAGCCGAGGACGGTGACGTTGTTGTAAGGGATGGTAGCGGAGGTGGTGACGAGGCGGGAGAGGAGAAGGTTGAGATTGGAAGGGTAAGGGGAATTGGGAGTGTATTTTTGAAGGGTGCAGCCGGCGAAGAGGAAGGTGTCGAAGGAAGAAGAAGATGATGGAGGTGTGAAAATGAGGGAGGCTCCCAAGAAAAATATGAGAAAAGAAGAGAAAGGAAGTGGCGTTGGCATGTTGAATTTTGCAGACAATTTAGATAGAGAAGACAATGAGACGGAGATGAGATTAGTTTCTTCTCCCAACGCCAACTTCTTCACTCTAACTTTACAAATTTATAATACAAAGGAGAAGGGCACAGTTTAGTTTACGAAATGACTCGCCACCTCAGCATAAGAAAAAATAAATAATCAATAAACAACTTTTAAAATATCCTTATATTTTCATTTTTTTTTTTTGAATTTTAAAATATCTTTAAAAAGGGACGTTCCTTTTAAAATAATTTTTTTTTAGGGATTTAGAAGTTTGTGAATCTATTATTTTTATTTTTAAAAAATAAAATAAAATAATGAATTAAGCATTTTTCATTCAAATATTATGCTTAAATATATGGATTACGTAAATACAATTTATAAATTCAACTATATGGAGGGAGAGATTCCAACTTTTAAATTATTTAGTTAAAAATATAGGTTCAAATTAATAAATTATTATCCGTTTTTTAATCACAAATAAAAAATAAATAATAGAAGGCACATTGCAACTATTCTAAATTAAATAAATAAGCATGATATTTAAAAAATCATTGTAAAAAGAAACGCATTCAATAATATTTTATATTATTTGAAGCTTGAAAGAGGGACAATATATAAATTAAATGTAGCAGGTTTTGACCGTATTTTCTAGGAAAACAAATTATTGAAGTCTTTAATAATGATTTGATTATTTATTTGTTTTAATTTTCTTAAATTCAAATATTAACCAAAAAAATATACTACTATTAACCTAATATTAATAATAAAAAAAATTAAACTTAATTCTTTTATAAATGTGTGAAACCGACCAACCAACTTTGTTCTTCTTGTACACCGACGCTGTGTTTGTCATATACACTTGGACGCTTTAGTCAAAAAATTAGAACGTGTAGCAAAGTTAAGAATTACGTATGATTGAGTTATCACAGGGTAGTTATTATAAACATGACCTAAAACTTCTTTTCCCTCTTCTCCGGAGATAATTGAATTTGAGTTGCACTATATTCATTGGGCTGTGGGTGAGAAAATTTTACGCCCAAACATGCTTTTGCCTTTTATCCCTTTGGGATTGCTCGTGTTATTCAAGTCTACCTATGACGCTGCTATGCTCTCAATCCCAAGCTAGGGTTTGTAGTTTATTTGTTCTTGGCCTAGACACTCAAAGTCCCAAGACTTGGGAGTACAGTTAGATTTATCTTGAAATTTTGGTCATCGCTCTCACCATTAACCAAACTACTTTTAGTACCCAAATATGAATATTTTCAGTATGTCTTGTCCTCACTAACGTGCATTTTAAGAAAATTTGAAGAAGTCATTCAATATAGAATTGCTCAAAACAAAGCACGTTTAACAATAGAGTTCCGGTAATAAAGTCACCAAAAAGAAATGTGCATTTTGTTGGTATAGTCATCCTGTCTTCAAGATCACTCTCATTTGGATGTAATTTCGATTTATTCATGTATCCATTTTTTACTCGAGTGTCACAGTTTATATAATATTTGACTACAAAATATTTAATCCCTCTTTATAAATTTGTTAATTGAGACGTGAGGGGTTCGAGTCAACACAGTTGGTTCACATTGGCTTGCCCTAGTCGAGCTTCCACTTCTAGGAAGTATTAAAGGATTTCAATTTCACACATGTTTATCTAAACATCAAAGAATGGAATTGTTTGAAGTGGATAGAGAAAAACAAATGAAGTGGTGTGAACATGAGAACAGAGTCTTTAATCCATTTCTTATTTTGGAGATGAGTAGACAACATATGACCATTGTCTTCACCTGCTTCCATTTACTAAATCAAATCCGTTCGAAGAATCTTCGGTTTCAGACCATTTTTCGTACTACTAAAACTGAAAAAGGTCTGCAAACACGATTATGGGATATATATATGTTTAAACTAACTAAATCATTTTAACTCAAATTTGTTTTTGGTTCCATTTTTATTAGTGTATATGCATAACGTGCATCCATCCGAAGAAATTGTGCTATTTTCATTACACCCATGATCACAAGGTTGTATAAAAATTGGCTAAAAACGTCTAGTTGAAGCGTATGATGATGTTAAACTTTTACAAATTACTTAATATTTCTTTTAAAGATGCTATCAATTAAGTGTGCATTTTTTCTTTTTTATCTCATGACAGGAATTGGATAATCATTAGAGGATATAGTTGATATTCAATACTTAAAGTCGTTTCTTTTTATATTATTTAACATTTTATTTTTAAAAAAATGATGTGACTTGTATAATTAGTTTTTTTTTTTTTTTTTTTTTTTTT